TAGACATGGAAGACCACCACATAGGCTAACAACTATGATGGAACCAAGGAAAACTATAGCTGCACCTTGGTTGCTGTGTCTGTCAAAAACGCCTCTTTGTGGTTAAACATCCTTGAAGCTGCAGTTAGATTGTTCCGGAAGCTAAAGCACTGGAGCATCCCCTACCCTGATATGTACAATAATGAAGGGCTTTCAACCTCAAGAATCCGACATTTTGTTTTTGACACAGTTTCCTGTAACCAATCTTTCTCTGTCCTGCCTGACAGCTACCAAGTAACGGCATGGAGACTTCCTATTAATTTTGAGTGCTCGGCCTTAGCTTAGGCTTGTTCCCAACTAGTTCTTATAACTTAAATTAACCCATATTTTTAAATCTACATTCTTTTATGTGGCTTAGTTACTTTTACTCTGTACTGCCCATTCTGCTTCCTCTCTGTCTGGCGACTCTGTCTTTCTTCTTCCCAGAGACCTCTCTATCTCCACAAGTCCCGCCTAACCTCTTTCCGCCTAGCTATTGGCCATTCAGCTCTTTATTAAATCAATTATAGTGGCACATCTTTACACAGTGTAAAGGAATATTCTGCAACAGTTTCCCTTTTGTGGAGATCATGAAAAAAAAAAAAACCACTATGAAACTAATGTCTGGCCCACCATGATTGAGACATGAACTGGGTCAACTCATCTTCCGAATGCTCCACCCTCCTCGTGAATATTCATCATGTCCCACAACACAGAATCCACTATGCGCTCCCTGCCTTGGGGCAGACCACTCCTTTAACTCCTTGCACTTCAGGCTTTGCTCAGTTTACCCATGAGGCTGTGCTTCCTGCCTTGGGGCAGCTCCCTTCAGTCTCTGGAGCTCCAGCTTAGTTTACCCACAATGCTGTGCTTCCTGAGTCCACTCCGTCTTGGGAGAGCTTCCTTTCCTTAGAGTTGCTTGTGCTGCTTTGCCAAACACACATGAGTTCGAATCGTCTCTGTCGTGACTGAAGTCATCCTTCAAGAAGACAAGAATCGAAGGACCCCGTGATGATACCACATAATCCTCACGATTATGACGGACAAAGTATTCCAATTATTTATAGGAAGCTGTTTTCTTTTAGTCTTTTTTAAAAAATTCTTTGAGAACTGTGTCCGGTGTATTTTGATCGCATTCACCTCTCTTCTACCTCCTTCCAGATCCACCTCCTTCTCTACCCACCCAACTTTGTTTTCTTTTCTTTTATAACCCATCAATTACAGTTGTGTCGCTCTTGTACTCTTGGATGTGTGGACTTCCACTGGAGTGTAGTCAACCTACCTGGGGTGACACCCTTAAAGAAAACTGGTTCTCCCTCTCCCAGTAGATATCAATTGTCAATAGCTCCTTAGCTGTGGATCATAACTATCTCCAGCTCGCTTCCTCTGTCACAAAGATATATGTATATGTATACATATACATATGTGTATATATATACATATATATCTGTTTATATATGTATACATATATACACACATTTATATATACATACAAACACACACACACATATATACATAAACATGCTAGCAGTTTGAGCTTTTAACAGGAGAAAAAATAGATTTACACATTAGCACAGCTATCTCTGAATATATCAGTATATGTGTGCAGCCACCTGTCATTCTCTATCTATCTATCTATCTATCTATCTATCTATCTATCTATCTATCATCTATCTATCTTTCTATCATCTAACTATCTTATCTATCATTTATCTTTCTGACTCTATAATCTACCTAGTATTTATTATTTTTTGGCTCATCTCTCTCTCTCTCTCTCTCTCTCTC